ACTGATGCAGAACTTTGTTCCTTAGTTCAGCTAAAACCAGGTTCTTGTCATACGACCAAGAAAAGCTAGGATCGCAGACACATGGAAGGGTGAGGGGAACAGAATTTGAGTGAAAAAAGAAAAAAAAAAAACTCTCAGCAAAGCAAGGGTTCCTGCCAGCAGCCCGCCCTCTCCGCCATGTCCTCCCACGCCCCCCTCCCCACGTACCCAGTTTGATTCCAGGCCACACACAGGAACTGAAAAGGCCAAGCTCCTCCCCAACTGCACATGGCACGAACTTCCCATGGCTCCACCCTCTTCTCTCAAGTACACAGGCAAGTCAGAAGAGTCTCTGGGGATTCTTCCCCTTATCTACCTCCTGCATCGATATGGTGCAACCATCACCATGAAAATTATGAAAGTTAGCTGGGCCCAGTGGCGCACAGATGTGGTCCCAACGTGAAAGGTTGAGATTGGAGAATCACCTGAGCCGGGTGAGTCGAGGCTGCAGTGAGCAGCCTCTGCACCACTGCACTCCAGCCTGGGTGACAGAGTGAGGCTGCGTCTCAGCAATAAATTTAAAAATAAAATAAAAATAAAGAGTTACAGCCTACAATGTGCCATTCTGACTAGTGGGAAGCATAGCCTCTTGTGTCCGGAACTGGTTATTTCCCGTGGGTTCTCGGTCTCACTGACGTCAAGACTGAAACCATCGGACTCTCCTCCTGAGTATTATGGCTCTATAAAAATGCGTGTCTGGAGTTGTTTCTTCCTGCCGGTCGGTTCAGGGTCTCGCTGACTTCAGAAGTGAAGCCCCAGACCTTCACAATGAGCGTTACAGCTCTTAAAGGTAGCACCTCCCAACTTGTTTGTTCCTCCCGGTGGTTTCATGGCCTCGCGTCCGGAGTTGTTTGTTCCCCTCACTGGGTTCCTGGTCTCGGTAACTCCAGGAGTAAAGCTGTAGACCTTCACAGTGACAGCTACAGCTCATAAAGATAGTGAGAACCTTAAGGATGAGCAGCAGCAAGATTTATTGTGAAGAACAAAAGAACAAAAGCTCCACTGGCAGAAGATGACCCACCAAGTTGCTGCCACCTAGGGGCGCCAGCTTTTATTGCCTTATTTGGCCCCACCCACATCCTGCTGATTGGCCCATTTTACACAGCACTGATTGGTGCATTTTACAGAGTGCTGATTGGTGTGTTTTGCAGAGTGCTGATTGGTGCGTTTACAAACCTGTAGCTAGATACAGAACACTGATTGGTGTGTTTTTACAGAGTGCAGATTGGTGCATTTACAAACTTTTAGCTAGACACAGAGTGCTGATTGGTGCGTTTACAATCCTTTAGCTAGACAGAAAAGTTCTCCAAGTCCCCACCCGACCGGGAAGCACAGCCGGCTTGACCTCTCACTCTGGCAGAGCCTAGAGAAGGAACTTTGAGATAAGGAAAAGACTAAGACAGGAATTTAAGCTTACTTGGTTTGCGAAGTATACATATTCAACAGGTTACAGAAGGAGCTATGAATATTCATGAAAGTGGTCCTGAAGTACATATACTGAATAAACTAGTATGTTGCATATGACCCATGTGCACCTTAGGGTGGAGACTTAGCATTTAAATGTATTACAATTAGGTCTTATACATCAAAAGGTCTTTTCAGGACACAACAGAACTCAAGTATGCAGCATCTGTAAACCAGCCAGAACCAGTCCACAGTCAGTAGTCTTCTTATCAGGAGGTTACTGAAATCAGTCTTGTGTTCAATCCAAGCTATAGTTTTGGCTGATGGATGATCTGCAAGTTGTTTTAGTCTTGCTTATCTCAAGGCCAGTGTTTGTTTGGCTGCTAGAGAGAAATTAAAACCTTGTGGCAGAACAGAGTTTTTTCTTTAAGTGCAGAGGTGTATGACTTAACCCTGACCCGCCACGGCGTTTGGCCTTGTTTATAGTTTGGTCTTTTATTGGCTCAAATAGTTTGTTCTGTCAGTCTTATGATCTCTGGTTTATTAATGCTGGTCAGTGGTTGTCTAAACCACAAAAGGGAGGAGGTATGAGGAGGCGTATCTGACCTTTCGTCCTCTCCTGGCTGGGAACTCGGTGTTTAAGGTTTCTCTGGCGTCCCCTTGGCCAAGAGGGGGTCCATTCAGTCAACTGGGGGGCTTAGGATTTTATTTTTAGTTTACAAAATTGTCTCATCGTAGTCTCTCATAAGGAGTCTGTGTTCTTCCCTGAAAGAAAGCTGACATCCCCTGCTCGTGGGGGCTAAGGGTGGCAGGGTCACACATAAACCAGGCATCCGGAGGGCTGTGGGCAAAGGCCGGAGCAGCCTGATTAAGGTGGGAAAATCCAGGGTTGTTCTTGGTAATGAACTGAGGTGGAAAGGGAGAATGGCAGTTGTTTTGTGAATCCACTGGAGACACTGAGCAGTAGACAGAAAGCAGATGTCAGGGAGTGGGAACCAGGGAGCTGAGTGGGTCCATCCTAAAAGGGGCAGCTCTGAGGCGTTCCTAACCTTTTAGTGCTGCAGGCCTTGTAGCCAAGCTTTGTGCCCTACCCACGTGTCCTTTAAGGTTGCCATTGAGAATGGCTCTGCCTGTAAGCCCCTGACACTGTTGAGGACTTACCCTGGTTACAGGAGCACTACCCATGGGTAGGGCAGGCTAGAAATGTCTGTGCCCTGGGGGCAGCCCTCAAATGAGATAGGTTTTGGTGGAGAAATGCCGCAGCTTCCTCAAGGGGAAGATGACTCTAAGGCATGTTCTATACAGTAGTCTCGAAGGTCCCAGTGGGATTGAGCCAAGGAGTTCATTAAGTTCATTGCTCATTGATGCACCCTGTGCTGGCTTCTGCCCTTTCCTGTCTACTTTACTATCAATTATGCTGGGGATTTCCTCTCTAATAACCTCCTTGCTTCAAATCTTTGTCTCCAGATCTGCTTCTGAAGGAACCTAACCTAAAACAGACCCCTGTGGCAATTTGTGAAAGCTGCTGTACTTCTCAGAATAATGGTGGGGTTTTGTTTTTTGTTTGTTTGTTTGTTTGTTTGTTTTGAGACAAGGTTTTGCTGTGTTGCCCAGGATGGAGTGCATTGTCATGATCATAGCTCACTACAGCCTCCACCTCCTGAGTTCAAAAGATCCTGCTGCCTCAGCTTCCTGTGTAGCTCGGACTACAGGTGCAGGTCACCACACCTGGCAGAATAGTGTTTTAAGTGTATGAAATAAAATAGATAACGATAGATGTAGGAGGCAGATAAAGGGGAGGGTCCCTGGAGAATCTCTGACCTGCCTGCACACTGGGAAAATGGAGTGGAGCCATGGGAAGTTCAAGCCAAGTGTGCAGTGGTGGGGGAGGAGCCTGGCCTCTTCAGCTACTGTGTGTGGCCTGGAATCAGTCTGTGGAGTGGAGACCTGTTGGCAGGAACCCCTTTTGCTTTGCTGAGAGGTTTTTCTTTTCTTCTTTTCCTTTTTCACCCAATAAATTCCATTCCTCTCCCTTCAAAGTGTCGGCCTGCCTAACTTTTCCTGGTCATGTGACAAGAACCCGGTTTTAGCTGAACTAAGGAGCAAAGTTCTGCATCAGTATTGCCAGGCTGGTCTTAACTCCTGGGCTCAAGCGATCCACCCACCTCAGCCTCTCAAAGTGCTGGGACTGCAGATGTGAGCCACAGTGCCCAGCCAGCTGTAACTCTTTAAAAGAAATAAAGCTCTCCTTTCCAAATTTAGGATTTTTCTTTTCTTTTTTTTTTTTTAAGAGACAGAGTCTCACTCTGTCGCCCTGGTTGGAATGAATAGCTCCCTGCAGCCTCAAACTACTGGGATCCACCTCAGCCTCCTGAGTAGCTAGGACTACAGGCATGTGCCAGCACACCTAGCTAATTTTTATTTATTTATTTATTTATTTTTGGTAAAGAAAGGGTCTCACTATGTTGCCCACGCTGGTCTCGAACTCTTAGCCTCAAGCATTCCTCCCATCTCCACCTACCAAAGCGCAGGGATTACCGGCAAGAGCCACCGTCTGCCCAGCCTAAAGTTGTGATTTTTAAGTTAACATATCATTGTGAAATTAATTTGTGTTTTCTGTTTTTTCTTCACATAACCCTGCCTCCCTCCCACTCTTCGCACCACCCTGCACTTCCAAGCCGGGAGAAAGGACTTTGTGCTCCTTCACCTCAGAAACCTGAACTCAGAATTTCCTTGCAGACACTTTTCAGGCTTTTGTTTGCTGGAGACTGGAGTTCCCTGAGAGGATTAAGGGTGTGGTGGGAGTGTCTAAAGGAGCCCAGTGCCTTGAGGGCAGCCAAGAAGACAGAGTCCCTGGACTGGATAGCAGCTGAGGTAGGTGGATCCCTCTGGGGTGGAGACCTTTCCCAGCTCCGCAGCCCCAGGCGTGTCAAGGGCTGTCAAGGCCTCAGAGGAGACCAGCTGCCTCTGCACCTCAGGAAGCAGTATCCTGACACCTGGACTCCAGAGTGCACAAATAAAAGGAGCACTTGCCTTTGGGAGACCTCAGGATGTTGACAATGAGAACATCATGGATGGGCGGGGTGGCTTGCTCCTGTAATCCCAGCACTTTGGGAGGCCAAGGCAGGTGGATCACCTGAGGTCAAGAGTTCGAGACCAGCCTGGCCAACATGGTGAAACACCGTCGCTACTAAAAATACAGAAATTAGCCAGGCACAGTGGCAGGCGCCTGTAATCCCAGCTACTCAGGAGGCTCAGGCAGGAGAATCGTTTGAACCTGGGAGGCAGAGGTTGCAGTGAGCCAAGATCACACCACTGTGTTCCAGCTTGGGCAACAAGAGGGAAACTCCGTCTCAAAAAAAAGAACATCATGGACTCCAAAGGGCCTGAAGTGCAGAGTCCTGAAGCCATCTCAGACCGCAAGGCCGCCTTAAGGGTAGAAGGAAGCACACTAAGATGATAGGAACAGAGCCTGGGTCCGTCATGCCAGGGAGCCTCCACACCTTCCCTGGACATTTCATCTCAGACCTCGTGGACAAAGCAGAGAAATAAATATCTACTTTGTTTAAGCCACTTTATTTTCAATTGTTTTGTTTCAAGCAGGCTTTCCACGAAGGTCCCAGTCTGACAGCATTAATTGGTGGGCTAGAATTTGTGGACGGTTTCCGTGTATGTATTCTGCAAAACAATCCATAAGAAAGAGTTGAACAAGTCTTGGGACTAGCTAGAGAAGTCGGCAATAAAAGAGAGGAAGTGGCCGGGTGCAGTGGCTCACACCTGTAATCCCAGCACTTTGGGATGCTGAGGCGGGCAGATCATGAGATCAAGAGATTAAGACCATCCTGGCCAACATGGTGAAACCCCATCTCTACTGAAAATACAAAAATTAGCCAGGTGTGATGCTGCGCGCCTGTAGTCCCAGCTACTTGGGAGGCTGAGGCAGGAGAATCACTTGAACCCGGGAGGCAGAGGTTGCAGTGTGCCAAGATCGTGCCACTGCTCTCCACCCTGGCAACAGAGCGAGAATTCCATCTCAAAAAAAAAAAGAGAGAGAGGAAGTAGCCTTTCCACTGCCCCTGCTACGCCTAGAAGGTTCCCCAGCATAAGAAGGGACCATTTGCATCTCAAACAGCACAATAGGCAGCCTGCTGGGTGGCCGGGGAAACTGTCCAAGACAGGGCTCTGCCAGAGGCCTTTTCTTGTCCTTTGAATATTTCAGCTTCTGTTCAGGAAAGTTTAGGCTTTCCCAGGACAAAATAATTTTTAACATTTTATTTGTCTTATTAAATATTAAATAAATACATTTGTAAAAGATACAGAAATGAATAACACTGATACAAAGAATGACAAAGTGACCTTTTAAATTTGAGACCAATTCCATCTAAACCAATCCAAGCCACCTGTAGCTGCTGGTTTGATTGCAATAACCAATACTGGACCACGGTTACTTAACCTACCAACCCCAGAAGAAATCTTTCATAACCGTGATGATCATGAAGGAAATACAAACATGGCTAACCTGTGTCATGAAAAATGGGAGCTAATCAAGGTATCTGAAATGAATGAGAAGACTGAGGATGTTCTGAAGGAAATGCAGGAAGGAGAATTAGCATAAGTGCATCCATGTTGAACTTATACATAAATCTTTCCTTGGTTGGCAAGAGTCCAGAATATGACATCACAGTGTGTGAAGGAGGCTGAGGGGAAACAGACTGTCCCATGCATTACTGGCAGCAGTGCAGATGGCACAATTCTGTGGAACAGCCCTGCAATATCTACCAGAATGATACACGCAAAAACCTTTTGTCTCAGAGATCCTCCTTCTGGGAATTTATCTTATAGATTCACCTACACAAAGGTAAACTTGCTTATGTATAAGGTTATTCACTGTGGCATTATTTGTAATAACAACGGATCAGAAACAGCCCAATAACCCAGCAATAGGAGACTGGTGGAACACACAGCTCTGGTAGATCCACCAGTGGAATGCTATAGAGCTGTCAAAATGAAAAAGGCAGGACGAATAGCTGTATGTGGTGATAAGGAAGGATACCCAGTATATTTAGTTACAATTTTTTTTTTTTTTTTTTTTTTTTTTGAGATGGAGTCTCGCTCTGCCGCCCAGGCTGGAGTGCAGTGGCCGGATCTCAGCTCACTGCAAGCTCCGCCTCCCGGGTTCACGCCATTCTCCTGCCTCAGCCTCCTGAGTAGTTGGGACTACAGGCGCCCGCCACCGCGCCCGGCTAGTTTTTTGTATTTTTTAGTAGAGACGGGGTTTCACCGTGTTAGCCAGGATGGTCTCGATCTCCTGACCTCGTGATCCGCCCATCTCGGCCTCCCAAAGTGCTGGGATTACAGGGTTGAGCCACCGCGCCCGGCCTTTAGTTACAATTTTAAAAGGAAGGAGCAAGATGTATATAACATGCTTTTTTTGTGTAGTAAAAGAGGAAATAAAAGTATTTTATTTATGTTTGCATAAAGAAACGCTGGGAGAATAAATAAGGCACTATTATGGTAAAAATGATTACTGACAGGGGCAATGTGAGGGGGAACAAGAGAGGGTAGGGATGGGGTGGGAGTGATATTTCTCATGTACTTGTTGACATCATTTTTATTTGAACTACATAAATGAAACATCATTTTAAAAACTAGGCCGGGGTGTGGTGGATCACACTTGTAATCCCAGCACTTTAGGAGGCCAAGGTGGGAGAATGGCTGGAGCTCAGGTGTTCAAGACCAGCCTGGCAACATAGCAAGACTTTGTCTCCACTGAAAAAAAAATTTTAAATTAGCCAGGCATGGTGCCACACACCCGTAGTCCCAGCTACTCATCAGGCTGAGGTGAGAGGATTGCTTGAGCCCAACAGTTGAAGGCTTCAGTGAGCTATGATCATGCCACTGCACTTCAGCGTGGGTGACACAGCAAAACCCTGTCTCAAAAAAACATATATAGAATTTTAAAAATCCGTATCTGGACAATTTATTAAAATCAAAGACATACAGAGGGCAGCTATTTAGTAACCAAGAAATAAGGACATGGATCAAAAATAATTGTGCTTTGCTTTTCTGACCAAGTCCCTCCTCTGGTCCCATGCCCTATTTTTCATAAAAACAAAATTTCCAAACTTGGAGACATTTCAGGGAATCCTTGCCAAGAAAAATGCTGATAAATTGATGGACACAAGAGCCTACAATGCAAAAAAAGAGAAAGCTATAAAATGTTCCAGGCGGTTGGAGAAGCATATTATCTTTGTCATTTGGGGCTATAAAATATGCATGAAATGTCACATTCCTTACTTTTACTCAATCAAATGTAATCTGCTCTGTGTCCCACCCTGGAAGACTAGGAGGAAATTCAACCCTAGTCATTAATGGAGCTGTCTCCTCCCTCCAACACATTACAAAATACCAGGGGCTTATGCAGTACCAGAAAAGCTGGGAGCAAGGCCAGGTCCTTAGTACTCAGGATAGCCATCTTAGTTCGCCCTGGCTGCTATGACAGAATACCAGAGACTAGGTGACTTAAATGACAAATTTTTTTTTTGTTTTTTTGTTTGTTTATTTGTTTGTTTGTTTTGAGACAGGGTCTCACTGTATCACTCAGCCTGGGGGGCAGTGTTGCAATATCATCTCACTGCATCCTCGACCTTCCAGGCTCAGGTGATCCTCCTACCTCAGCTTCCCAAGTAGCTGTGACTATAGGTGCACACCACCACATCTGGCTAATTTTTTTTTTTTTTTAAGACATAGCCTCACTCTGTCACCCAGGTTGGAGTGCAGTGGCACACTCTCGGCTCACTGCAACCTCTGCCTCCCAGGTTCAAGCAATTGTCCTGCCTCAGCCTCCTGAATAGCTGGGAGTATAAGTGCCCGCCACCATGCCCGGCTAATTCTTTGTATTTTTAGTAGAGATGGGGTTTCACCACGTTGGCCAGGCTAGTTGTGAACTCCTGACCTCAGATGATCTGCGCTTCTTGGCCTCCCAAAGTGCTGGGATTATAGGCATAAGCCGTAAGTTTTTGTATTTTTGTAGAGATGGGGTTTTCACCATGTTGTCCAGACTGGTGTCAAACTCCTGGGCTCAAGTAATCTGGCCACCTTGGTCTCCCAAACCTGTACTAGGATTACAGGTGTGAGCCACCACACCCAGCTGAAGAAATATGTATTTCTCACAGTTCTGGAGACTAGGAAGTCCAAGATCCAGGTACCGGTAGATTTGATGTCTGCTGAGGGCTCTCTTCCTGGTTCTCAGACTGCGGCCTTCTCACTACCGATGGGCAAGAGAGAGAGCGCTGGTCTCTAACTCGTCTTATAAGGGCACTAATCACACATGGGGGCTCCACCCTGATGACCTCAGCTAAACCTAATTACCTCCAAAAGGCCCCACCTCCAAATATCATCACACTGGGGGTTGGGTTTTCAACATATTAATTATGGGGGGACAGAGACATTTAGCCCATAGAAGCACTATTGTTTCTGTAGTTCCCTCTGCTTTCAGAGGCTACAGTCAAGTCCTGGTCAGGATGTCCTCTGGGTCAGGCCCAGCACTTCCCCTCACATCAGCAAGGTCCATATCACCCATAGTAGAATCTCCCTGGGGACCCTGGCCTCTGTGCCCCTAGCTGGGAGAAACCATGGCTTCTCTGGGCATTCTCCAGCGATCCTTCAGCCTGGGAATGCTCTGGGCAGAAGTGGGGGGTCTGAGTCTCCACCACTCGTGGGGAGAAAGCACCAAATTTTCAGACCCTAGAGAATCTCAACCTCTGCTCAAGACACACCCACAGCCCACTTCTGTCTCTCTTAGCCAAGGTGTTTGCACATAATCCAAATGCCATCACCACCCACCGTCTCCATACTCAAAAAAGAGCCTCAGAATTGGGAACAAAAAGCCCAGTAACTTTCTTGGTGAGGGGAATGTACATAGAGCAACAAGAACAAAACGAAAAATAATTCCACAGTAAATTACCCTTACACAAGCCTGGCGTGGGAGCTTTGCTGAACTGTAATGGAATGAAGAGCTGGGTAATGCTGTAGCCATAGCCTGGCAAAGTGAGTTGAAGGAGATAGAGCCTTACAGAGCCAAGAAGTTACTCACCCTGGGCATGAAGGCTCTGGTCCAGGTGCAGATACAGCTATTTCAGTTACCTATCACTGAGCAACCACCATCCCAAACCTAGTGGCTTAAAACAACAGTCACTTCCTTACATAAAAAATTGTGTCTGTCAGTTCAGCAATTCTACTCTGCTTGATGTTAACTGGAGTCACTCAATGGCATCTTCGGCAGCTGGCTGGTCTGGAGTGTTCAAGACAGCTTCCTTCACATTTTTGTCACCTTTGTGGGGACAGCTGGGCTCTGCTAGTGGTTGGCCAGAGTGCCCTACACGGCCATTCCAGCAGGCAGTGGCAGGGAATTTGAACTTCTTCTTTTGTGGGGATGTGGGGCACAGGGTCTCGCTCTGTTGCCTAGGCTGGTGTGCAGTGGCATGATCATAGCTCACTACAACCTTAAAGGGCTTGAGCGATCCTCCTGCCTCAGCCTCTTGAGTAGCTGCGACTACAGGCATGAGCCACCATTCCCAGCTAATCTTTTCTTTTTTGTAGATATGGACTCTCACTATGTTGACCAAGCTGGTTTGAACTTCTGACCTCAAGTTATCCCCCTGCCTCAGCCTCCCAAA